AGCAACCTCCAAGAGTAGTAGTCCCTCTCGGACGACCTCCGCGCAGACGCCCATCTCCGCCCCAATCACCCTATAACTGGAATTGGACCTGGTCTACGATTGAGGAGAGGAACATACCATCAACCCCGCCTCGAGACGCATTTGGACCAATCTCGCGCCCAGATCCATTTGCCCGCTTCATCGAGGGCACCAGGACCCCGCTCACCCCTATCCCTGATCGCAACTTCCTCGCGCTCTATCTCACAACAGCACCTGCAGACGGGGAGACAGCAGCAGTACCAAAAGCAGAGGAGGATGAAGACGAAGCAGAACCAGGAGAAGAAGAAGGACCCATGCTTGAAATCCCGCATGAAATAGAAGCAGAGGCAGCCGCATACCACGCATGTTACCGGCGCACCCCTAGAGTCCGCGCAGAAGATGACCTTCGGTCAACCTTCGCTCCAGACATTCAACAACTGCCTCCGCGCCAAAGTGTTCCTACCAGGAGCCCTGCTACGTCCTGACGGCACGGAACCACTCAGCACATCACACCCAACCACCTGCACCGTCTGCCCCACTGCTGCCCTCACACACCAAGCCTACCCCTCACTGGAGCCGAGTACCAATCTCTACAAGAAGCTGCATAAGGTTTACAGCGACTTCATCGTAATCACCTGTGAAGGACTCAACGGTGAGGACAACACCCTCACCTTTGTGGACGCGTACTCGCGACACGTCTGGGTTGCCAACGTCGACGTCTGCTCCAAGGACTTTCGCAGCCATGAGCTCGAAGGACTTCTCGCATAGAAGGGGATCAAGCACGACATCTCACTCCCCTACGCTCACCAGCAACAAGGCGTCGCAGAGAGAGTCAACCGCACTCTCATGACGAAGGTCCGCGCCCTCATGAACCAGTCCGGCCTACCAAAGAAGTTATGGCCGTACGCCACGAACCACGCCGTGCACTTGCACAACCTTCTCTCCACAACGGCGAACAGGGGAAATCTCTCCTCGTACATGAAGTGGACTGGGACAAGGGGAGATACCTCCATGCTGAGGGTTTGGGGGTGCATGGTGCAGTATCGGCCGACATCCGCGACCATTGGCAAGTTCACTCAACGCGTACGATGGGGAGTCCACTTGGGAATCAGCCACGAGTACAAGGGCTGGCTGGTACTTGACATCGACAGCAACAAGATTGTGCCGACGCGTGACATCCTCTTGTACGAACGACTCACCTTGAAGCAGTGGAACGAGGATCAGCTCAGCCATGTCACACAAGCTTACGCCAACCACGGCCGCAGCTTCGCTTCGCCGGAAGATGAGGCTGCAGCAGTATTGCTTGACCGCGACCCCACGGACGAACATCCTGGCCTACCTCCTTGTCCACGCGATGACGACGACGATGATGACAGCGACGACGCTCCCACACCCGGACCGTCACGTCGCCATGCTCCGCCAAGTGACACATCGCCGGCCCACGAAAGCGATGATGACGACATAGTAGAAGTCACCGCTCAGGAAGCCGAAGGTGCATCCAATGTCACAGGCCTCCAACTTTTCGGCCTACACACAGCAGTCACCACAAGCCCTCACTAGACCACACGCCAAGGAGTGGCGTGCAGCCATGGATGCGGAGCTGAAAGCGCTGGAGTCATGAGACACCTGGGTCCTAGTCGATCGTGCAGCAGTGAAGGGGAGGAGGGTGCTAAACAGAAAATGGGTTTTTTTTTTTTTTTCGTTTGAAGACTGCAGCTGACGGAACTATCGAGCGTTTCAAGGCACGCTGTGTTGTACGTGACTACGACTAGCGCCACGGCATCGATTTCGACCAGACCTTCGCTCCCGTCAGTCGTCATACCTAAGTGAGGATCCTACTCGCCATCGCTGCAACTAAGCACCTACCACTGCGGCAGATCGACGTCAAGAACGCGTTCCTATATGCGTTGGTCGATGCAACCATCTTCGTGGAACAACCTCACACCTACGGGGAAGGAGACCCCAGGGTCTGTCAGCGGAAGAAATATCTTTACGGCATAAAACAGGCGCCACGTCTCTGGCAGCAGCACCTGCACAAGATACTTCTGGAGATCGGCTTTAGGCAGCTGCCGCACGACCCGGGAATGTACCGCCTCCACTTCAACGGCGATTACATCCTCCTGACAGTCTACGTCGACGACCTGCTGTACACCGGCACCTGCAACAAGCTTCTGGACCAGTTCGAATCAAACATGGCATAGCGCGCTGACATCACCATCAACCACAAAGTCACAGAGTTCTTGGGGCTTAACATTACTTACGCGCCAGAAGGAACTGTCAGCCTCCAAGTACGCAGAACAGCTGGGGGAACGCTTCAAAATCTCGCCCGCACCACTCTCAACTCCTTATCGCACCTCCAGCGCCAGCTACAAGCCGGACAACAAACCTCTGTCACCCGCAGGACTCCACCTTTATCAACAGCAACTGGGGTGCCTGCTGTTCGCTTGCGTCACCTGCCGACCCGACCTCTCATATTTCGCCAGCCAACTAGCATAGTACTCCCGCAAGCCAGTAGCAGAGAACCACCTGGACCTAGAGCGCGCCCTACAGTACTTCGTATCCACACCTGACATCGGGCTCTCCTACTCCACACTGATAGCAACGTCATTCAACCTCAACGGCTACGTGGACGCAGATCATGCTGCTGACCCCGCCAATCGATGGTCACGAACCGGCTTGGTCTTCCGCCTGGAGCCAACAGGACCAATCTCTTGGAACTCGCAGAAGCAGGAACTGGTTGCCTTGTCATCGGCCGAAGCAGAGTACATCGCCGCGTCAGCAGATTGGTTGATCTGCCGCAGTGGTAGGTGCGGCAAGGACTCTACCTGCAAGAACTGCTGTAGGAGGCAACAATTTCAACTTCGCCCACCTTTCGCCTCCACTGCGACAACCAGAGCGCCATCAAAATCGTGAACAAGCCAGGGTTCGTCAACCGCACGAAGAACATTGCGCTTCGATACTTTTTTCGGCCGCTCATTTCCTCACCAAGCGACTGCCACGTCAGCAGTAGCAGCACTGCTCCAACCTCACCGGAGTAGTCAAGCGAGTCAGCCCTCTGCGCGACCAGGAATGAAGGGGAGTGTTACGATATGAAAAATGAGTAAGGCATTCCTGTATGCTGCAGGAGCCGACTCTACCGAGTACGAAGTCGAGGAGTCAGAAGAGTCGAAGTGACACCATCAACCGTTAGATCAAGACCGATGCAGGCAGTTGCATTTGAGCTGAAAAGAGCGGGAACAGGTTTTGAAACGGGTTCCGGTGCCGCACGGGTCTAGGTTGTTTTGTATTCCCTCTACTCTATATATAAAGTTGATGTATGCATGCTTTTAATTATCTCAGTCATTTACATTCAGGGTACATTCCGCTGTGGACACTTTCTCAAGGAAAGTGTCCCAATCACATTTGGCCCGAGTCGCCCTCAAATGTCTCGGGTCTGCATGTCTCAATCGATCGATGTATTGCGACTCTGCACAGACGCGCGACAATTATATGCGAACGTTTCTGATTGGTCAGACCATAAGGTGGCCCACTCATCTTGCGCATCACAAGCACCAACACCGCCAGGCCCGCAATAGATCATGGGTGGTGTCTGGGGAGGCCGCGGAGGGTTATGTACTCCTCCGCCCCTCCAATAATTGCCACAACGATATGTACAACGCCAGCACGACATCACATACAAGGGCAAGATAAAGCAAACAGAGCACCACCGCCACCACTACACACGCATGATCTACGCACAATGGCGGAGCCTAGGGCCATCCCCTTCATCCTACGCCTACTCGTCGCCTGGGTCACCTACTACTACACCATCTTTTACGAAAATGTCGCCAAGTCCTTCGTCGGCATGATTGAGGCCGGTGTGTTCGAAGACGCGGACGAGCAGTCCACATCTCTTGGGGACGATACTGGGGAGAACCGCCGTCACAGAGCGAGAGTACGGCGGCAACGCCATGCGCTGTGGGTTGAGGACCTGCAACATATGCGGGAGAACGACTTCCAGGACATATTCAGAATCAATCGCGCCATCCTTGAGCATATCAAGACAGGGATGCGCCAATATCTAGAACCGGTCGTCTATCGCACGATGATCACAATGGACACTGCGTTGCTCATCCCAATAAAATATCTGGCAAGCGGGATCTCCTACGTCGACATGTCGTACCTTTTCGGTGTCTCCAAGACACTCTGCCACGAGCTCGTCGACGTCTTCCTCACCGAGTTCCCCGCTGTGTTCAAGGCCGCCTGGGTGCGCTTCCCCACACGCGAAGAACTTCCGGAAATGGCGAGAGAATTTGCCGCCGTCAAAGGTGTACCTGCAGTGGTGGGGGCTGTAGACGGGACTCACATCTACATGAAAGGGATGGAGGGGCACCGGACTGAGTATTGGACAAGAAAGTCGGCTTACGCCGTACAACTTCAAATCACGTGTGATGCACGTGGAAGAATATGGGATTACCTCATCGGTTATCCCGGCAGCGCGCACGACATGCGTGTTTTCAAGAACTCTCCACTACTGGAAAGGTTACAAAACGGGGACATAACCCCATACCAGATTGTTGGGGATGCGGCATACCCGCTCAGAGAATACTGCCTAACCCCACTGCATGCCCCGCGCGAAGAGGACCTAATGGACGATTGGGCCCAATGTTTCAACTACTGCCAGAGCGCTACGAGCATGGCGGTGGAAAGGTGCATCGGCGCATTCAAAGGGAGATGGCGCCTCTTCAGCGGGCGCAACGACTGCAGGTTATGGCGCATTCTTGCAGGGGCCGCGTGTTGTGTCATCCTGCACAACATTTGCGAAGACATGGCAGAGGTTAGGCGCACGAATATGGCCTGGTACAATCTGCCCCGCAACCGCGACCCATGGTGGACACGGGGTGCCATCGCGGATCACAAGTGGGAACCGTGTGTTCCCGCGACACATCAGGCTCTGAGAGAGAGACGGAAAAGACTGGGTGAAGCTCTACAAGATTCTTACGCTAATCGTCGGCGCCGCGCACCCATATCTCCACATCATCATCACCCGGAGTGACGGTGTTGACGTCGCCACCATCGTCGCGCTGCTGAGCGGCATCGGGAGGTGGCGCGGACTCCCCGCGTGGCGGTGGAGGGCTGAAATCCGTCGGCGCACGGTGCACATGTGGTGGAGCTGATTCAGTCATGCGTTCGCGGGCAAGGCGCATGTCCTGCGCCATCCATTCACAGACGAGACCCTCAATGCGCGTCATCGCGTCATCGTGACAATCTTTGATGGTCGCGGAGACAAGCTTGGCGGCTTGCATAGTAGCCGTCTCATGAACCCGCGCGCGCTTGGGTGTTGCAGTGGTCTGCGGCGGCGGTGCTGTGACAGAAGTGCAATGAAAATTGCAGTGCCGATTAGTACATTTACGGTTGTATGATGTTTCCGCAATATATGCTAGTCACATACGCGTTACCGTTATTGAACATTTACGAAATGAACACGGAAGGCGCATGCGGTAAAAGAAGCACAACTCACCTGTAAAGGTCGGTGTCGACGTGCCGGGCTGAGAGGAACTTGGAACCTCCATGCCGGCCTGCACGTTGACGTTAGTGGCGCCGCCGCCGTCCACCGCATGCGGTGCGGCTGCGGCAGTGTCCTTGTTGTACAGCTCAAGATACGGCCACCAGGGTGGTTTCTCCACAGAACCGTTGCCCGAACCACCATCACCACGCTTGTACTCCTTCCAAAGCAGCATCAAGTTGCGCCACTGCTTTTGCAACGCGTTGACATTCCTGCACCAACCCGGGTTCGACTCCTTGATGTGCGAGAGAAGGCGGACCGAGTATTGCGTCCCCTGCTTCCCCTTGAGAGGCTCGAGCTCGTCTTTGGTGAACCAACGCGCCGCGGCGAAGATAGTGCTTTCCTTGTCCGACCATAAGCCCCTCTCGACTGGTGCAGTCGACCGCTTCTTCCGGGGCTCCTGGCGTGGCGGTGGTGCAACCGCCTTGCCTTTGCCTTTGTCAGCGCCAGAAGCGCGTGCGGCGCTCCGTTTCGGCGGCTGTGCCACAGGTTGCGCTTCCTCCTCCGCGTTGTCGTCGGCGTCGTCATCGTCGCCGTCGTCGTCGTCCGACATCCCAAGGTCTTCCGGCTCGTCCTCCTCGTCTTCGGTGCCGTCGGCGTCGCCGCGGTACTCCTCATCATCGTCGTCGACATCTTGCTCCGCGACGGGCCGCACTATTGCCGCTGTCCTTGCAGGCTGACGGCGCACACGTGACGGGCCCGCGCTGGGCGACTGTGCACTAGAACCCTGCCCGTCAAGCGCGGGCGGCGCGGATAAGCCAATCGGATGACGACCGTTGGCGATCTGCTGGTTCATCCAGCGGATGTAAGGGATGTCATTAAGATCCTTGGGGCAGTCGTTAAGGGACTGCCCCTTACGCTTACGAGCCATGCTGGGGGCGCGGGGTGTTTCTTGATCTAGATCTGAAGGGACACAGTGCAAAGCGAGAAGGTGACGACGGGCGACGGGGCGAAGACGACAGGAGAAGGGCAATTGGACGACCGCGAACGAGCTCGCCGCCGCGCCCGTTACGACGGTTGCGAGCTTTGCGACCGTCGTTAGAGAGGCGACGGGGGTCTCTACTAAGGGCGCGACGGGCACCATGGAACGCAGACGAAATGGTGGGCCCATGAGGCTCTTAAAGCTCTGATACCATGTCACGATATGCACTTAACTGGTAACTGGGTTAAACTAGGGCCTAGGCTTAGTAGCCTAGGCCAAGCGGGTGTCGAGGGTGGCAAGAGCAAGGGTCGAGAGAATTGACCAAACAAGTGGCTTCACTAAAAGCAAAGCATACAAGATACAGTCGAGAATGATGCACTGAAGGTGGTACACCACCAATAAGAGGTACAAACACTACAGTAACTACAGCAAGCAGGATATATATTAAATATAACTTTAACATCAAACGCGCAGCAGTAGCCACACGCGCAGATTGTGCAGCATGCGCAGCATCAGCTTCTGCCGCCTGCACATCAGCAGCCCCGCGTGCAGCACCTACCGCGCCTGCAACTATAGCTGCACGCGACTATCCCCGTTCACGCACCTACCGTAGCGCACCTGCACCAGTGCACACTACACCACATGCACCGCTGCCTCAACTGCCGGCCCGTACTCTTGGTGACACCTTTCGCAGCGGCTGGAGGCCGCATCCTATCTCGTTTACTGGCGTTTAGAGTCGTTTCAGGGCCTCCACGCCGCCCCTAGGGATTCGTTCATCGTTAGGGCCCGCACGTCGTTCCTAGTCTAGCCTCTCTGGCTTTGTTTGCTACTCGCTCCGGCCGTTCCTAGCCTTGTCTTCCTGGTTTCGTTCGCTTCTAGCTCCAACCGTTCCTAGCCTTTCGCTCCTAGTCTAGTAACGCACTCGCCGTGACGTCCGGTCGAGTCTTGATGCGGAAGGTAGAGCGCTAGATTTTCCCACCTGACTCCTCTGTGCCGAGTTGTACTCCAGAGTCAGCGCCAGGATAGTGACACGCTCTGGGCGCAAGCCTCTGGTAAGATGCCTTCGCCTCCGCGCCCTGCAGACCTGCCTCCCAACCCCACTAATGTAGACCGGGAGCGCTTTGCGCAGGCCCGTATAGCTCTGTCGGTGTGGCAGTCTCGTGACGCTACGGCTCGTATTGCTCTTGGCAGCCTTCTCCCCGAGACTGAGGAGGCCCACTTCAGCCAGGTTCGATCTGCCAAGGATTTTTTTGTTGCGATTGACCCGTTGATCCACTCCCTCCTCCGCCTTTCTTGGTCGCCTCTTCATGCCGTTTCTGTTTCCCGACCTAGGAGCGTTTGACCGTACTGCTGACCTTGTCACCCACTTGCACTCGCTCGACGCCAGCTACCGTGCTGCTTGTACCGAGGCTGAGCTTGCAGTCGCCCCCCCACCCATGCAAACCACTATTTACTTCGTAGTCCTAGCCTCCCTTACATCCTTGCACCTATACGCGACGTGATTTTTCGGAAGCACCCTAGTGAGCTCACTATTGACGTCCTTGAGACAGCTCTCAAGGATATCGAGAGCAACCTTCTCTCCGTTGCCTCCGTTTCTGCCGTAGTAGTTCCCCCGCTCTTTCGGGGGTGTACTGTCCCACAGCTCCCCACCTTCAATGCTTCTCTTGCCTCAACTGTGTCTCCTGCTTCTGATGAGCCTCCATCCGTTTCCACCATGAGTGGGCAGACCAGAGGCAGGGGATGTAAGAAAAGGGGGAAGGGTGGTGGCGGCGGTGGTGGTGGAGGGGGTGGCGGTGTTAGTGGCAGTACTAGTGCGTCGAGTGGAGGAGGCACTGGAGGTGGTACTAGGGCTGAGGGATTGAGGGGAGGGGGTGCTAGACCAGTTGGTTGGTACACAGCACAGCAGCGGCAACAATCCCAGCAGCAGCACCCACAGCAGGGACAACATCAATAGCAGCCGCAGGAGGGACAGCCGCATCAAAGGGTTCAGCGGTAGAGGCAGCAGCAGTTTCAGCAGTAGGGACCTGGTGGACCAGGGAGCGCTAGACGTGGTGGTGGCCCACCCAGCTGGACGTCCCGTGGTGTCGCCCCTTCTCCCTGCCCGTACCTTGTTCAGACCGTGACATGTCACGGTGGCCCCTGTGGCCGTCTTCACCCTCCGGGTCAGTGCTTTGTGCAGCTCACAAACCGCCTCTGGGCGCAGTATGGCTTTGGCCTCGCTGGCTTGCTCTCTTGGTCTTGCGTGACATGTCTGCGGTAGAGTTACTTGATGCCTTGCGATCTGCTTCTGTGATGTATGCCGATGTTGACTATAGTGCTGCTGGACCTGTTTGCTCGCGTGTTCGTAGCTTAGGATCCTGCTAGTGCTTCAGTCTGGTGATTGTGTAGTTACTAGCAAAGGTATACCTACGGCTGACGCTTCGCTCTCCTTCACGCTGGACTCTGGCGCGTCTCCGTGCTTCTTCCGCAACCACAGTACTATCACATCGCTTCCTGCTCCGGTTCCGGTTGCACTGACTGATCCTACTTCAGGACCAGCAGTTGCCCGCAGCTCTACAACCCTCCCGTGCCCGATCGTCCCCTCTGGTGTCCTCACTGGTCTCCACATCTCCTCGTTCTCCAGGAACTTGGTGGGTGTTGGGCCCCTTCAGGACCTTGGTGTTGGCACCTGGTTTCCTCTGCATGAGCACATTGCGACCCACACGGACGGTGCCACTGGAGCTACTCTGGTTACGTTTCGTCGCGAGCCCCGCTCAGGTCTCTTCACACTGCACAGAGCGTCTCCCAAGGTAGCTGTGTCTGGTCAATTTCCTGCGTCGTGCTCCTGTCCTGTGCTCACCCACCCGATAGTCCTGTGGCACCACCGTCTTGGTCACCCGTCCCTCTCACGCCTCGATCACATGTCTAGCTAGCGTATTGTCTCAGGTCTTTCGCCCGCGTTTGCATTGCTCCCTCCTTCGCCTGCGCCACCGTTCACTCCTTGCGTCGAGGGTAGGCTGCGCACAACTCCTCACTCCTCCTCCCTTTGCCCGACCACCGTGCCCTGCCAGACTCTCCACTTGGACGTCTGGGGCTCTGCCCCTCGGCCTGGACCCGAGAGGGAGAGCTTTTTCTTGGTGGTTGTTGACGACTTCTCTCGCTACACCATGGTGTTCCCCCTACGGAAGAAGTCGGCGTGACTTCTACCCTGGTTCCGTGGTTGCTGGCCACTAGTGCTGAACATGGTAGTCATGTCCTTTGTCTCCACTCCAACCGTGGGGGTGAGTTTCGCTCCGGCGTGCTTGCGGGGTTCTGTCACGAGCAGGGCATCACTCATTCCTGGACGATTCTGGAGTCCCAACAGCAGAATAGGGTTGCTGAACGCCACATTGGCCTGGTCATGGAGATTGCCAATCCATGCCCGTGCGCCCCATTTTCTATGGGCCTATGCGGTTCGCTACGCCGGCCACCAGTTGAACCTATGGCCTCGTGTCTCACGACCAGAGGCTTCACCGACCAGTCTTTGGACCGAGTCTCCTGGTGTTGCTTCGGAGTCTCGTGTCTGGGGCTGTCTTGCGCATGTCCGCGATACCTCTGCGGACGAACTCTCGGCTCGCTCCCTCCCCTATGTCCTCCCTGGTTTCCTGGCTGATGCCCCTGACTTCACGTTTTACCACCCGCCCCTCCACCGGTTCCTCGACTCCCATGACATTCGCTTTGACGAGTCTAGCTCGCTTTCCCCACCGAGGTCTTCCGGTTTCCCTCCCTCCCCTCTTTCTAGCTCCTACTACTCCTCCTGGTCCTGCTCCTTCGGTACAATCTCCCCACCCTAGTCCTGCCCCATCCAGGGTGTCGCACACTACCCCTCTCCCCCTAGTAGCACGTCAGGTGTCTTCTCCTTTTCCACAGTCGTCCTCACAGTCTTCGGCACTACCGTGACATGTTGCAGTGGACTCTGAGGGTGTTTGTGAGAGTACGACGGCTTATACTTGCTTATTATGCTATATCTAGCTTGGGTTCATTTTATCATGCATAGATATGCTTGATTTCCTAGGTTAGGTGCATTCCTATATGTTATTATAGTTATAGCACCGAACCAGGTTACGTGTACCAAACTCAAGCCTTTCGGTTCCCACCGAATTGCTTTCTACCGAGTTCGGGAAGGTTCTGTTCGAGACGCTTCGCGACCCTCAGAACATTCGCGTAACACCTGGGTTACCTGCCTTGTGTCGAGCCTATATATAGCCTCGTTATGTACCGAGGTGGATCATTCAATTCAAACTCTCTTTTCTGAGCTCGTTCCTAGATCCTCACACTTGGTAATCAGAGCCGTTTACATGCGAAGCTTTTTCAACCACTAAAACCGAGTCTTCAAAAACCGCGGGGGCGACGACTGTTAAACACCGATTTCGGGTACGTAAAATCGGTTCCGTGTTTTTCACTCCCCCTCGTTTTCGGTTTTCGGACGCGCAATGTCAGGGATGGAGGGGCAAGGCGACAATTACGCGACCACCCACGACATCACCAGCCTTCGCACCGACGTGGAACAGACGCAGGCGGCGATCCGGCGAATCGAGGCCCTCCTGACAAACCAATCGGTAGCCGCCACAGCAGCAGTTAATGCAGCAGCGAACGTAGCAGCGACAGCAGTAGCAGCAGCGGCGACGACACCGACATTTCACGGACCGATGGCACCACCTTCGCCGAACCTCGAAGCAGCTCGCCCGAGGCTCCCCGAAGCCTTCGATCCGAGCACGAGAGGATCGGACGTTCAACGATTCGTGGCGACCCTCGAAAAAATATTTCGAGGCCATTGGCTGTTCGACCCCGACACACGATGCAGCAAGGATTCGGCTCGCAGCGACACTGTTGCGAGGACCAGCACTCGAGTAGATTTACTACAGTGACGTGGCCCGTGGGGAGAAAACGTGGGCGCAGTTTCGGTCAGACCTCATCGAAAGATTTGAGCC